CTGGACTGACCTATCCCCTTCCTAACTCCCTACCTACACTCACCTTTACTGGCTCCATCCCCGCCTCTTTGACCTGTCTGTTTCCTCTCCACCTATCCTCTCCTCTATCCCTCTTCTATCCGCCTCCCCCTCTCTCCCTGTTTATTTCAGAACCCCCTTCCCCTCCCCCTTTTCTGATGAAGGGTCTAGGCCCGAAACGTCAGCCTTTCTGCTCCTCTGATGCTGCTTGGCCTGCTGTGTTCATCCAGCTCTACACCATGTTATCTCTCTTCTGCAGCTCGGGTCGGTTTCCTCTTGAGGAATTGCAACCTCTGATTTGCTACAGCTCAGCAACGTTGTAGCAACGAAGCAACCAATCATCTCGACTTTATTTGGAAACCAACCTCTTCCGGCTGCGATTTCAGTATCAAGCTGTGTGACTGGTGAAAAACAGACACATGGGAGGCTTGTAACAAACATGCAGAGTGCAGAACAGAGAGAGAGCGAGAGATTCCTGCACTGTAGAAAATTATGAATGTTAAGTTGATAACTGAATCAGAGAATCTGCAGTAAGTGATGAGTAGGAAGATGCAGTGTGAGTCTGTGTCACTGCTCTCGCCCATCACAGCCTTGCAGTTTATGGGAGACATCCTTCTCTCAGGTAAATTTCAGTCATGTATTGTTTTAATGGTTCTTCTTAGTTGAATGAATGAGCTAGCCTCATTCATTGAATAAAAGTTGCAAAGCTTCAAAGGGGCAGCAATTTCAGTTGAATTTCTCCCGCATCCCATTGTCAAATCCTAGAATGGTTTCAGTGTAGGATAATACTTAGCAAACTTTCTCTCACTGTGATCCAATTTCCAGGTTTGAAAATGGTTTGCGACCCCCTCAGTGATAACTGGGCTGGGGGTGGTGAGAAGACCTATGAAAACTTGGCAGTTAGGGTAGAGACTATCTGTGAAGGGTGGGTGGGGAGCTCTGTGGTGGTCATTGCTGCATTGGCGATTGTGACCCCCCCTTGGGAAATCCTATTGTGGGAGGACAATCCACCTGCTTTTTTCTGTATGGCCGTCTTAAAGAACAACTTAGCAAGTCCTACTCATTATGTTCAGATTCTTTTACAGCCAGTGAAACACTTTTGAAACATCATTGCTGGAGAAAAGAGAGACAGTTTTTGCACAGTAAATCCACAACCAGCAATGAGAGAATGGCCAGATAATTTGTTTTTTTTTTCATTTATTTGTTCAGGGGATGTGGGTGTTGCTGGCTGGGCCAGCATTTATTTCCCACCTCTAACTGCCCTTCAGGAAGTGGTGATGAGCTGTTTTCTTGAGCCATTGGAGTCTGTGCAGTGTAGGAGCAGCGTGTGGCTTGGAGCGGAACTTGCAGGTTGTGGTGTTTCTGTGTGTCTGCTGCCCTTGTCCTTCTGGGTGGTAGTGGTCGTGGATTTGGAAGATGCTGTTGGAGGTTGGTGAATGCTCCAGCACATCCTGTAGATGGTACTACTGTGTCAGTGATGAAGGGAGTGGATATTCAGAGTCTTGTTGGCATACCAAACAAACAGGGTTCTCTCTCTCCTGGATAGTGTAGAGCTTCTCAGTGTCCTTTGAACTGCATTCAATTGGGCATTTGGAGAGTATTCCATCACACTCCCAACTTATACCTTGTAGGTAGTGGTGAGACACTTGGAAAACTACGTTGATGTCGATTGAGGGACAAATATTGGTCAAGACACGAGGGGGAGCTTCATTTCTCTTTTTTTGAAATTATGCCTTGGGATCATTCAGACCCAATGGAATGGGCTCAGTCTAATGTTTCATTTGAAAGGCAGCAACTCCTCAGTATCATTCTTTGAATATCAGTTAGATTTCAAGGTTCCTGGAATGGGATTTACAATCCTGATTTTGTGACTGTTAGGAAGAGAGTGCTATCATTGTGCCATAAGTGGTACCTTCTAACTCTGGCCATACTGGAGAATATTGGGTTACAGTGCTGTTGGTGCAGGACTGGGAAAACTGAGGAACTTTATTTGAAACTGTCATGGTAATTATGAAAATGAGCTGAACAAATTTGATACTTTGTGGGTAGGCATCATTATAATAACCATGATAGCTGTCAGATTGTTGAGCGAAACCCTGTTATTTTCACTAACATCTTTCCAAGTTAGTTTGACCTACATGCAACTCCAATCCAGTGCTGTGGATTGTTTGTTGCATTTGTTGATCTAGCAGGCCACTTAGATGGAAATAATTAGTGGAGAGGGCAGCTTACTGCCATTGTTGTGGGGCAACTAGAGATGGGAGATACTGAGAAACATGGTGTAGTCAGTTGTGTTCAAGAAAGGATGAGGAGGAGATTAGGATGGTTGCAGACACTTAGGATATCATTCATGATGGATAAGAACTTTTTCTAAAACTAAGACATATGGGAAACTAAGGCAGGAATAAAGCCTTATTAAAACCATATAAAACATGCACCGCTCTCACTGCAATGCTGAATTTGACAGCTTTGTTGAGAAAACAGCTGTGGGAATGATGGGTGAGTATCTGGGAGTTGACAACATGTTTGAGACTTTGGAGAGGGAGTGAAGGACGTGGTACCTTGAAAGGACTGAAGAATAGTTGATGTGTATAACAAAGGTACATTTAAAGGGAAGCTAGATGAGAGTAAAGTGATCAAGAACAGAAGGATGTATTAACGGAGTTAGAATAAAAGAAATGATAGGAGGCTTTATGAAGGACAAATATCAGGAAGAATCTGTGAAGAAAAATCAGTCAACCTGGACCTGCCAGAGCTGCTGAGCTTTTCCAGCAACTTCTGTTTTTGTTCCTGATTTACAACATCCACAGTTCTTTGGGTTTTTACCAGGAGGAATCAGTTGGCACAAATGGCCTGATCCTGTGCTGTAAATTCAATGTGATTCAATTTAATTATACCTTTGCCAGTTTTCCAACATCCTGAGAACAAGTAATGGAGAAACAATTTTTTTTTTTAAACAGCTTTTCTAAAATTTCTCTGCCCTTTACCAGGTGAAGGAGCCAGTGTAAACCTTTACACTTTGAATTCGGCAAATGGCTACGAGAGAAAGTTTTCTTGCAATGTGCTTCGAAACTACTGTGTTCATGGCATCAAGCCATGGCCCCTACAGATGGAAACAAGCAGCTCACGGCTGGCAGTATTTGGCGCAAAAGGCCTCATCGTGCTTGAGCTTGAAGTGTGTGCCAAAAGGCCAAAGCTGCAGAGGGTGGGGCAGCTTCACGAACTGCACGACTGGATTTGGGACCTTCAGTGGCTAGAGAGTGACTGTGAATTGGACTTGTATTTTGGCCTGGCTCTTGGGCACAACTCTGTGGTTCTGTGTGACTACAAGGCAGGAAGGACCTTGCGTGAAGTGCACTGCGATGTCAAATGCATCCTGTATTCTGCTTGCTTTGTGGGTCACAGTTGGGATGAACTAGTTTTGATTTCTGGAACTGTCTTTAACCAACTTGTGCTGTGGCGAATGGAGGGTCCCACTAATGAGGATGGTAGGGTGCAAACAGAAAGACGCATTAGCGGGCACAGTGGAGTCATTTTCAGCATTCATTACTTGGAGAAGAATGGTGTTCTAGCCTCGGCCTCAGACGATAGAAGCATAAGACTCTGGAAAGTTGGGAACTTGCGCCAGGTTCTGAAGATTGGTGATGGTGGGGTAGATTCTGTACAGTGCCTTCTACAGTTATATGGGCACCAGTCCAGGGTCTGGTCTGTACGGCTCCTGGAAGATCGCATTATCAGCATCGGGGAAGATTCTACTTGCATTGTGTGGAGCTACGATGGAGAGATCATTGACTGTTTTAAAGGACACAAAGGGAGGAGTGTGAGAGCACTGGCTGTTAATGAAGATAGGGGCTGGTTGGTCACTGGAGGAGCAGATTCGGGTATCAGGTTGTGGAAAATTCAGAGGAAAAAAGCAGAAGGTGTGGCCGTGACTCAACTCAAATTTGGTGAAATCGGGAAAATGGGAACACCGAAAGCTTTGACATTGGTTGACCCAACTCTTCTCTTGGTCATGACTGATGCTGGAAGTATCTACAGCTATTGCCTGGTCTCTGGTCAATGGAAACTCATCATGGAAGATGCAAGTTACCAGTCGTACAGCTTGTTAGCAGTCAGAAGGCAAGACGGCGGCTGTGTTATTTGTGCAGTTGGGAATATTGACGGCTGGGTTAAAATATTCACCCTTTGTGAACCTGCGGAGATGGTGGAGAATCAGGTGCACCAAGGGAAAGTCCACAGTCTAGGCTGGGCCTCCCAAGAATGGCAGAGTCCAGACAAGTGCCACCTTTTCTCCTCAGGCGCTGATGGCATCATGATCTGGTGGGTGGTTTCCTGCAAGGGGGACCATGTGGCCTCTGTGGCAGAGAAATGCCGTTACCTCCTGCCGTTGTGCAAGCACAGGTGGCACACAAGCGTGGCGTTCCTGTCTGAGCCCCAACTTCTGGTTTGTGGAGACCGCCGTGGCTCCTTGTTACTGTACTCATGCACTGGGAGAGACCAGGACAAGCAGCAAAGGCTCAACACAGGGAGTGCGGATGCGGCGGCCTCGAAAGATACAGCAGAAAGATTTCCCGAGGGCAGACTCCGACATGGTTCAACTGAGATCGCCGGCCAGCTTGACTGTGAGGAGCCACTTTCCATTTTGCCGGGACTGCATGGAAAATTGGGCGTGACGTCAGTTCTGTTTCACGATGGTTTTGTGTACAGCACCGGACGGGATGGCTACTATCGTCAGCTTACCGTCGAAGACAAAAAGCTAAAATTGCTGAGGAGTCAGAGAACTTGCAAGGGGATGGAGTGGATCGAACGACTGCTCGTGACGCCTGAGGGTGTCCTCCTCCTGCTTGGCTTCCATTCCACCAACTTTGTCCTGTGGAATGCCAAGACCAGTGAGAAGGTACTTTGCATCCCCTGTGGTGGAGGTCATAGGTCATGGAGCTACTGCAGTTCCCCAGCCAGTCAACTCTTTGCTTACATCAAGTCAGGCGACATCTTCATCTGCCAAAGCAACTCAGGCGACTGCTCCCAGACAGTCATTAAGGAATGCATGCACGGCCGTGAACTTACCTGTGTGAAGTTCGTCAAAAGGCTCAGTTCATCAGCTGATGGACCCATAAGTATCGTGGCTACAGGCAGCGAGGACACAACAGTGAATATTTTAGCCATTTATGAAAGCTCGGGCCATGTGTCCAAGCTGACAACGGTTGATGACCACATCTCCAGTGTGAGGACCATAGCTGTCACTGGAAGCTGCCGAGCTGTCACGGGCGATAATCGCTGCAGCTCCTCATCTGTATTATTCTCTGCTGGCGGCAGAGCTGAGCTGCAATCTTACCGCCTCCTTATTCAACATGTCGATGCTGGTGCACCTCTCAGCTGTCAAGTGGAGCATCTGGCTTCTCACAGGTTGGCTGAAGACTGGGAACATAAGAAGAACAGGCACAGGATGCTAAAGATGGACCCCGAGACTAGGTATCACTTTGGTTTTTGTCTAGTTGTTTTTAATGCATTGACTTTTGTTGGAACATCGCTAAGGTAGAACCTCTCCCCAGCTCTTCCCACTTAACTCTTCTCGTACCTAACTTTCAAAGGGGCAAAAAGGGAGAGTTTTAAAGTATTACTTTTAATCAACCTGCTGAGAGATGTTATTGTACACCTTTAGAGGAAGGTGCGTCCTGAACCTAGGATTCCTAGCTCAGAGATAGGAATACCACCACTGTGGTACAAGAGCCCTCCAGGAGAGTTTCAAGTGTGGCAAATTTGACTGATGTCAGCTGTGACGTGGTGGGTAGCATGCTCTGAGGTCTTCTCAGGCCGAAAGTTGTGGGTTCAAGTCTGACTCAAGCATTTCAGGACACTATCCATGCCAGTACTGACTGAGTGCTGCAATGTCAGAGGTGTTATCTTGTTAAATTGAAATCAGTTTGGGTGGACTTAGAAGATAGTACAGTGCTATTGGAAGAAGAGTGGGGAAGCTTAGTTCAATGTGTGGCCAATATTTTTCTGTCTACTGACATCATTACTACATTACAACATTCAAAAGAACTTAATTGATTGTCCTTGTCACCTGTTCACGTTATTTATCCTAATTATGATACGCGTTTAAACATACCTATGTGCAAGATTTATTTATTAATTCGTTTAATTGAAAAAAATTATTAATAGTAAATGAGTCAACAAATAAAATCAGGACAGTCTGACATTGGTGGAGATTAAGGAGCCATGCAGACTCTGAGTCATTTAGTAGAAAAAGAAAGATTATAAAGAATTTTTGAGCCCTGTGTTATCTCGTGCACGAATCAACTGAAATGCTTTATGTTATTGTTGAAGGAGACATGCTGTCGAATGTTTTCATCTTGCATACATCAGGACGGTGTAAGAATGCCAAATTTCAAAGGGGAGCGACAGGTTTATATTGTTTAAGAAAAGGGGGCTGATTCATTGCCAAGTGGACTCTGGTTGTGGTATTGCTATGTGCATACCCCATGGCAACATCCCAAACAATCAGGGTCAACTTTGGCGATTAATCAGCACCCTTTTCTCATGCAGAATAAATTGTTCCCTTTGAAACCTGGAATTCTTGCATGTGTCCTGGTGAGTGGAAGATGAAAAGATTTGAAAGCACGTTACTCTGCACTGCCGAGTGACTGTATGTGTAGAGGGTTTTATCAATCTGTGACACTCTGTCTCGACAAGGTACATGTCCATTGTGGTGGTGGACGCTGGGGCGAATTTCGGGACAGCCTCCATCTCCTTCCGTCATTTCCTGGCTGCAGCCTGCAGCGATGGATCCGTGAGGTAAATGAATCTCTTCTCTCTTGTCCTGTGCCCTTTTCAGATTAAAATTCTGCCCCAGCGCACCCATTCCACATCCTGCCTACTCCACCACCCTACCCTAACCCCCAAGTCGGCTAGATCTTGTAATTCACTAGCAACTGAATCGGAAAAAGCTGGCAATACATCTCAGCCTCTCAGGAGAAGGGAGGAAGCGTGTGCATATTTCTTCTTTGTTAGTAGGCTGGTCCCTGGATCATTGCTGCACAGAAGGAAGCCATTCACCCCATGGCACACATGACAGCTCTTTGAAAGAGCTACCAAGGTAGCCACTTTTCCTAAACCTTTACAAATATTTCCTCTTTGAGTATTTATCCTTTTGATTCTATTGCCTCTCCCTTTCTGGCAACACATTCTGGATTGAAACATTAAAATATAGGAGCTGGAGCAGGCCATTTGGCCCTTTGAGCCTGCTCTACCATTCAATATAATCATGACTGATCGTCCAACTCAGTTCCCTATTCCTGCTTTCTCCGCCAATACCCTTTGATCCAGTCGCTGCAGATCATCAGAACTCGTTGCCAAAACACACAATTCCTTCCCAGCTCACAGTAGGATTGTTTTTCCGGAGAGAGACAGGAGAAAATCATTCACTATCCTGATCAATATTTGGCCCGAAAGTGTGTGTGTGTTTGCCAGATTCATATCTCGTCTCTTCCAAGTGTCAGTAGCACTTATTACCAGGGCCTATCAGTAGGTTATTAATGTGTCCATGTAGAAAGTGCACTCCTGATCGCAGTCACATGCTACATTTCTGAACTGTTGCGGTCCGTCATGTATAGCATTCTCTTTTCTGTGCAGGCTCTTTCTTGTCGACGAATGCAAGAGGAAGATCATTCTCCTTGCTGAATCTTTCTACCATCAGCGGTGTGTGCTAAAGCTGCAGACCTTCACATTTCAGCCAACCACAAGAGGGCAGTAAGTACATTAGCAGAGGGTAAACACGGCAAGCTTTTAATTAACCTTGTGACTTGGTGACATTGAGCCATTGGAGGTCCTGATCACCATTGCATTGCAAATAGTGTTGCTGCACCTAAATCCTTGTCTTTAAATTCATTGCCCACTCCTACTATCTCCGTAACCTCCTCCAGTCCCACAATCCCACGAGAAATCTGTCTTTGTCCATTCTGGAATCTTGCACATTCCAGAACTTGGCCATCAGCAGCTGTGTATTCAGCTGCAGGTTGTGGACATCTTCCCTTAGCATCAACTCCTCCTCATTTGCCCTCCTTTAAGATGTTTGGTAAAATCTACCACATTTACCAAACTTTGGCCATTGTCTGAATTTCTCATCATGTGGCCCAGCGTCAGATTTAGTCCAGTTACTTGCCTTTGACGTTGTATAAATGCACATTGTTGTAATTGCCTGAAAAATTCCAAACCCTCTGTGCAGTGATTTCAAAAATGAGGAGCGTCAGTCAGTAGGTGTAGTATTGACGTGAGGAGTGGTATTGGGGGAGGAGTGGGGAGGCGGGGGTGATATCGGGGG